ATACAAGAACTGGGTACAGGCCAGAGGTGCAGCGGGGGGCGGGGTGGGGTGTGGCGGTGAGAAGATTCACCAGAAACAGAGTGGGGAACAGAACAGGAGGATTGACAGAAATACACTGCTGAGGGGAGCCGCGGGGAAGACAGGAGAGATCTGCTGCACCATATGTGTTAGCTCCCTGGCTGGCCGGGGGTTCAAACTCCTGCTGTGCTGCAGTGGCTGCCAATAGCTTCATAGTGCTGCAACTTAACCCTTTGCACCAAATAGGGAGGCCCCTATTTTTTTTCTAATTTTTGTTGTCTTTTATTTATTTTTTACCTTTACTTCAAAATTTATTTATATATATATTTTACATCATTGTTCATTTTTGTACAAAATTTGCTTTCTCCTCTCAGATGTAGCCACATAAAATTCCCGCCACAAATTCACCATAGTCCCTTATGCTTCCCCCCCACCCTTCCCCAGTTTTGATCCTTCCCCTTCCCCCTCCCCTGCAGAATGTCTCTGATTTATAGTTGCTTGTTAATTTTGATTTTTTATTTATTATCATTTTTTTCCTGATCCCTTAATTGGTTCCCCTATACTCTTCCAATAAGTGAAACCATCCAGTATTTTCCTTTTTTCCTTCTTATTTCACTGAGCATCAGGGATTCAGTGCTATTTAAACTTAAGCAAATTTGAGGTTACCCATGAGAGAAACTTGCTCACAGTCAGCCAATCTGAGATTCCGTTATGTCAGCAGCACATGTAAAGATGTCAATGTCAGGTTGAACCAGATAAGGAATTACCTCGCTAGCTAGAACTTTTAAAGATGTTAAGCTGAGCTGGAAAAGACAGGGAAGGAAAGGTGAAACAGAAGTTTCTTCTTACATTTGGAAAATGTGGCAAATGGAGAAAAAATTATAAAGTCATTTAGACAAACATCACACGAGAATAAAACGAATTTTAAACCATAGTTCAGAAACCCCTTCCCCTGCTGATATTCAAAAAAGAAAGAAAAAAACCCAACAATGCTTTTACCTAGAGAGGTGGTCTTAATAACATGTTTTTGTTTGGTGAATATAAAAATAAAATTTAAAAATAAATAAATAAATAAATAAAAGCTAACTATAAAAAAAAAAAGAAGAATCACAGTATGAAATCAAGGTGACTAGATTTTAACAGGGATTTGCTTAGAAATAAGGATTTATTTCATAAAAATCATGTTCCCCCTCTGAGTTCTGGTTTCCACAACTATAGAAGGAGACCACAGGCTATCTATTTAGCAAGGCTATCATGAATAATTATGCTACTTGCTAAATATGAATGTATAAGATAAAGAAAATGCTGTTGTACTATTAAAAAAATAAATAAATAAATGTTTCACTTTGACAACAAATAGCCCATTTATGAAACGTTTTGGGTTTGTCATCCTTCTCGTGGTGGACAAAAAGTTTTGCTTTCTCCTCGTGGTTGGCACATTTTGCCATGCCGCTGTGGGTCTCCAGGGTTGCTCTCCAGGCTGAGGGTGGCTCCCGTGCCACTGGGTTCGGTAGTAATTAGAGGGTGGAGAGCACCTTCCAGAAATGTGGATGGCATTAGAACAGACACAGCCTAGGGAAACCTATGAGGAACCTCAGCGACCAAGTCCACCCCCTCCCATAGTAAGTGAGGAATAAAAGGTCAGTGAGCTCCACAGCTGGGTAGTGGCAGAGATGGTGCAAATCCTGGACAGAGGACCCAAATCATGCCCAAGTTCCACCGCCACCAGCAGAGCTGCCTGGGGCAAAGTTCTTAGCCCTTCTGAGTTCTGATGCGGTAAAAATAGTAATGACCTTATCAGGCTAGCAAGGGCTAAATGTCCTAAGTCTATAACCCTGCATCTGGCACACTGTAGGTGTTTTGTTAATATCAGCTGGCTTTTTTTTAACATGGTAACATTTACTTAGTGATATGCCACACCATTAATAAAACACTGGCAAAAATTAAAGTCAAACAGCATTTTACATCATAAAACAGCATGTTCCTTAACTAATAACATCTTTCAGAGAGTGTTGAAAATACTCTGTTTTTAATAATGAACAGCAGAAACACCAACAGGTCTCAAAAATCAAGACATAAATGTCATGCAAAGGTGGTGGCATTACTGGGAGGTGATTTTCATCCTTGATACATTCTAAGCCAGGGATTTCATTTTTCAGCCTTGTTCCATTATCTTGGCAAGTATATGAAGGACTTGGTTTTACCATACAGCTTTATTGAGATAGAATTCACCTACCATAAAATTCCCTTGCGGGGGCCTCCCCTGGTGGCGCAGCGGTTGAGCGCTGGGTTGCGAGGCTGCCCGCAGCCTCTGCAGCGCCAGTTCGATCTCTGGCCACTGGCGAGGGTCCCACAAAAAAAAAAACAAAAAAAAAACCACAAAACTCCCTGTGGGGAAGTGGAGAGTTGAGGAGTTTAGGATATTCACAGAGCAGTTCAAGCATCACTGCTGTCTAACTGTAGAACATGCTCATCCAAAAGGAAACCTGTGCCCGCTGGCAGTCACTGACTCGATGTGGAATCCATCCATTTTGTTGCCCATTTTTGAACATTTCTGAATCCAAGTAGTTTCGCTTATTATGACCAAGTGCGGGTGGCAGTTTCCTGCCTGGCTTCCTCTGGCATCCCCACTCTTACTTGATGCTGCACACCTGCAGATCTGTTAGCCCTGCCTCTTTCCGCTTTGTCTTTTTTCCCATCAAGAGAACTTAAAGGACTGACTCTTCGGTGTAAGCATCTGCCAGGCTCAACTGTTTTTACTGCCATTCCCTTGTCCATACCACCCCCCCCCCCAAGTCCAAGTTCATTCAGCCTTGCCAAAGCATGGGAAGGAAAAGCCATCTCATCGAGGGAAAACACCACACCCACACATTTATTTAATCAAAACTTTACACACCAAGAGTTTTTAAAAAGCACACAGCACCACATGCAACATAGAAAATATAAAAATTCACTATCTGCTATCAACATTTTAGCAAGTAATACAGTTACTCCACAGTTTTGAACACTATCATGGAGAATGACTTTGAGATATATTTCCCATATTTTTATTTAGAAAATCAATCGTTTCTTAAAAAACACCATGACTAGTGGTGACTATGATGGTGGAGAAATGTCAGTAGGATTTGTGTTTTTAAAAAGTGAGGCCTGGGCCTCCCTGGTGGTGCAAGGGGTTAAGCACAGCACTATGAAGCAATCTGCAGCCTCTGCAGCACGAGTTCAATCCCCAGCCGGCCAGGGAGCAACCCACATGGCAAAGCAGACCTCTCCCGACTCGACTGCTGCTCCCCTCAGCAGTGTATTCCAGTCAGTCTGCCTGTTCTGCTCCCCACTCTGTCTCTGGTGAATCCTCTCACCCCCTGCACCTCTGGCCTGTACCCCAATTCTTGTATGCATAAATAAATAAATCTTTAAAAAAACTCATTAAAAAGTGAGGCCATTATTGGAATGGAGAAGCAGAGATCAAGTAGGGGTAGTAGAAGAAAAGGCAAAGTCATCCTTTTGCACCCAGGGATCATTACCAGGTGACATAAAAGGAGAGGTAGAGGCCACAGAGGCTGAGCCCCAGGGGCCTGCGTGGTCATTCATGCTTCTGTTCATAGGAAGGAACTGAGCCCTGTCACCCAGCCAGTGGAAGGCCAGACACGAAGGATTATTCGATCTAGAAGCCTGGAGAGTAGAAAAGAGTGGAGCGTTACATTTTCTGGGTCTTGACCTGACTGCACCTGCACTGCTGGGTCTGGAATCCAACCAGAAAGACCTAAGGCACCAAGTTGGTCTGGAAATGGAGAACTGAGCAGCCCTAGGGACTACAAGCAAGATCAGAGTCATCTCTATTCCCAAGGGAGCCTGAGAGTCTCCTGAACCAGTATCTACGAGCTATTAAAAAAGCAAGCAAGTAGCTCTGCTCCCCAGCTGGATGAGCCAGAATGCACTCCGGCTGGCCGAGGTCAGTGAGGTGGGCGGACACTGCCACCTCTCCTGGGTCAGGGGATTGCTCCGCCTGCACTGAACACACAGGACAAGATGGAGGCGCGCCTCGCTGGGCCTGCCACCCCGCCCTGCACATGTACCGGCCTCCTCCCTGCTGCTCCAGAACTTAAGGCTCCAGAGTCTAAGCCTGTTGCCGAATACTTGGCCCTTTGCCAGAACACATCACCAAAATAGCTCTTGCAAAACGGGAAGATCAACAATTCAGTGGACGGGTCTCAGAAGAGAAAAGCGTTCTAAGCCCAAGAAGATAGAGCTTGCTTCAGAGCTGCTCACGTGGATTTTATTTACATACCCTGCATTTTTGGCACTTGTGTTTACGGAAGGGTCTTGGGCATATCGATCAATCTGCTGTGCAATCTACAAGGTGAGCAATACCAGCCACAGGAACCACAGGGTGGGGTGAACATGGAGTCGGGTCAAGCCCAGGCCTCCGGGGTTCAGGGCTCATCTGTAGCCGGAACCACTAGACAGACCACCAAGCCCCTCCCAGCTCGAAAACCTGCAGGTGAACATCAGAGCACTCACTGGGGCAGAGCCAGTGCCCAGAAGGCCAGATGCAGCTACAGCGGGCTCATCCCCCTGGGAGGTAACTACAGACTTTCCCCTTCTCTTGTAAGCTATTAAGGCAGGACGCTGAGCCTGTTTGGGAAGGACTGATGAAAATGATTAAAACGTGAGGCGTTGGGCCTCCCCGGTGGCGCAGCGGTTGAGCGCTGGGTTGCGAAGCTGCCCTCAGCCTCTGCAGTGCCGGTTCGATCCCCGGCTGCTCCCCGGCCACCGGAGGAGGGTCCCACATGGCGCGCAGACCTCTCCTGCCGCCCGCTGCTCCCCTCAGCAGTGTACTTCGGTCCTTCTGCCTGCTCTGCTCCCCGCTCTGGCTCTGGTGAATTCTCTCACCCTCCCGCGCTTCTGACTGTACCCAGTGCATGTGTAAACAGAACAAACAAACAAACAAACAAATAAATAAATAAACATGCCTCTATAAAAAAAAAAAAAAAAAACATGAGGCGTTAGAGAAATCCCTTGTTTTAAATATAAAGCACTGCTTCTGTGTCTGCCACCCAAGAGGAACGGGAGCTACAAGCTGGTTCCATTAGAAGATGGTTCTCTCCTTTAAAAAGATAAATAAACTGTACTTGCAGTCACTCAAACCTCCCCCCTCCTTCTACCCTCTACCCTTCTACCCAAACACATTTTATCACTTAGTTTAAAAATACAAACCGGAGGACTAGCCATCTTGGGTTACTGAAAACAAACAACTAAGCAACAAATCTCGTCAACACTGTCACTGTGCGAGGAACACACAGAGCCAAGCCCTCCAGGCTTGTGCTCATGTCACCACACTTGGGATCTGTGCAGGTGAGGTAGTTCAGACAAGGCATAAAGTCACTGAGATAAGGCCCCTGGCACTAGATCCCACCTCCTGTGCTTGCCATGACAGAAACCTGCCATATATACCAGCCTACAGTAGTGCCAACTAGCACAGGACAGACGCTCAACTAGTCCCTCCTGAACATCGGTCTTATAACAGGTTTCATTGTGTGGTTTAGCATTAAGAATCCTTCACCTTGTGTGTGCACCTTTAAGCACATTCACCAAGCGAGCGCCAATTTCATGCCTCCTACATGGAGACACTGGTGAGCGGGAGAAACAAGTCTCCTGGCCTCACGGAACACAGATGCTTCTCTTTTCCTTTTTTTTTTTTAAAGATTTATTTTATTTATACAAGAGCCCGGATACAGGCTAGATGCATGGGAGGGTGAGAGGATTCACCAGAGATAGAGCGGGGAACAGAACAGGCAGACTAACGAAATACACTGCTGAGGGGAGCAGCGGGCGAGACAGGAGAGGTCTGCTAGCCATGTGGGTTGCTCTGAGGCCGGCGGGGATCGAACCGGCACTGCGGAAGCTGCGGACAGCTTCACAGCGCTGTGCTCAACCACCTGCGCCACCAGAGAGGCCCCACAGCTGCTTCTCAGAGCTGGATATGACCCCGGTGAGCTGCGAACCGCACACCTCTCCCCAGAGGACACTTTCCCTCATAGCTCATCCTACACAAAGAGGCCATTTGGGAAGAAAATAAGACTATGTCTATGACCACAGAAACCTTTTGGAATTCCCGTGTCCTAAAACATGGTGCACAGTCACATCTCCCAGTGGCCTCCCTGTTTCTACACAATGATATATTTCTTTTTTATTTTATTTATTTTGCATAGAAGAGCTGGGATGCAGACCAGAGGTGCAGGGCATGAGAAGAGTCACCAGAGACAGAGTGGGGCGCAGAACAGGCAGATCTACTGAACTATACTGCTGTGGGGAGCAGTAGGCGAGACAGGAGAGATCTGCTGCGCCATGCGGGTCATCTCCCTGGTGGGGATCGAACTCACGCTGCAATGGCTGGTGAGAGCTTGACAGCACTGAGACTTAACCCCTGCATCACCAAGGAGGCCCCCACAATGATCTATTTCTAAGCAAATGGCAAGGATGACTTTCTCAACAGGAGCAGAAGTGAGGAGACATGCTCTTATCCACATGGTTTTCCATTTGGTGGGTTCACCCCATCAAAGCTGCAGAGAAACTGCATTCCTGCATACAAGTGCATTGCTTGACTCCACTTAAAAAAGCAAAGTATCTAAGTCTTAAACGTCACATTAGTCACCAGTAAATGGACAGTTCAAGCAGAAGAAGGAAAAAGATCTCCTGTCCTCTGGCACCATGGCCACACACTGTCTCCTGACTATCCCAGCTGTGCCAACAGCAGCTGGCAGCTGGGTAGAAGCACCTTAAGTCTGTGATAGGGAGGAAGGGGCTCATAATTTTTTGACACTGTCATTTTTTGAGCTTATGAGTAATTCTACACGCTTTCTTAACCCGTAAAATGATCTCACTTTTCTAAATGAGTAAGATTATTAAAAGGCTATTAACACCCCCCCACCTTATCCCACAGCTACCCCTCTGTCTTTTTATTTACCACAGATAAACATCAACACCTGTCACCATCAATAACACTTTCCAGACGCCAATGGGCTTCTGAGTCAAAGGAAAACATATACATATTTCAAATATTCCTTTTCCTGTCGGGACATTCTTGTCTTCCGCAGCCTCCTGGGCATCTCAGTTACTTGAATATGAGCGTCTCGTGCTCTGGGACACCATACTTCCCTTTGTGTTCCTCAAATAATTGCCTTAGCGCCTCCAGATAGGTCTGATGCAGTTCCTCGACCTGCTGTGGGCTGGGGTCCGGGGTCTGATGCACAGGGATGGGGCGGCCAACTGCAAAGAGACAGAAAACGTGACCCAGGACTGTAGGTCACCCACCACAGACGTCCCCGTGTGGACAGCCCCCCAGAACCACCCAGGGAGCCCATCAGGCCTGGCGCTCTCTCCCTGCTGGACTGAGCTGGGGTCACCCGTGGCCACACCGTCCCCTTCACAACACACAGAACCCACCTCCCCAGCAGACACTGGGACGGTCAGTGCCCCCGCGGCTTCAACTTTGAGTCAAAGGAACTTCTGTGGGCCTCCCCAGAGGCGCAGCGGGTTGAGTGCTGCGCTGTGAAACTGTCTGCAGCCTCTGCAGCATGAGTTCGATTCCCAGCCAGCCAGGGAGATACCCACACGGTGCGGCAAAACTCTCCTGCCTCGCCCGCTGCTCCCCTCAGCAGTGTCTTTGGTCTGTCTGCTGTTCTGCTCCCTGTTCTCTCTGGTGAATTTTCCTACCCTCCCTTGCCTCTGACCTGCACCCCAGTTCTTGCATAAATAAATAAATCTTAAAAAAAAAATAAAAACTCCATCTTTTTTTAAAAAAACAAACAAATGAACGTCTGTGTGGACTGCAGCTGTGAGGCGAGGGACAGCGCTGGGCGTGCTGGTCACCAGCTCTCTCCCTCTGGCACAGCTGACACCAGGCCACAGCGCCCGATTATGACAGGCCACACAGACCTGAGGCAATGACAGCCCTCCTGTGCACTGACTCTTAACATCCTCCTTAAAAAGTCCAATTTCTCTCTCTATAGATGTAGATCTCCCCAGCTAAGCATCCGTGCTAGAAAACACACACACACACACACACACACACACACACACACACACACACACACAAGTCCCCCACTGTTGCTAATAGTGGAAAACAAACCAACCCAAAGTTTCATAGACAACTTATTCAATAAGCCACAGAACACTGACTCAATGGAATCCTAGCTGGCAGACTTTAAAAAAAAGTGAAATATGTGTGCACACTCACAGTTAAGTGGGGAAGAAGTAAGGTGTAAAATAATACAGCTCATGCTGTATGAGCCCATATATGAAGACTATTTCTATCCCTAGGTAACCTGTAAGCTCTTAGAATATGTTTTACAAGTCTGGAGAAAGAGGTCATAACGGCTCCCTGTAGGAAGGGAGATAGGAATGGGAGAACTTGGAAGTTATCTGTAGTGTATGAACTTTCCATAAAGAGCATGCTTTTGTTTTACCTGCATAGTTCAAAATTAATTGTATGTGGAAGCTTCCACACTTATTTGAAAAGGAGTGTGCATATAACTAGGAACTTGTCTCCGATACCCGGGGCTTTGGCACCTGCTCCCTGTGACTGACTGAGCCCTCTGCTGGTCGGGTGCTGCTATATCTGGGTAGAGCTGAAACTATACAGGATGCTGAGTGACCCACCCTCTGGGCAGCTGATTGCCTTTAACTAGCCTGGGCATGAGGTCAAGTGGGACTGTAAGGAACAGAGCAGACTCACAGACAAGGAGCTTTCCTTTGGCCTACTAGAGTCCTTGGGCTACATCCAAGACTCAAATCCATGTCAGTAACAGCAGGTGATTATTTAAAGAAAAATACAGGCAAAAACATTAAGTTACAGAGAAAGAAGTAATAAAGGACATCAGTATGGGAGGTAAGACAGAGAATGGAGTGATAGACACACATAATATGTATTACATAAAAACTATGTGTAGCTGGTGTATACAAGGGCACAGAGCTAGTAATTTATTTATATATTCTGCAACATTAATATCCTCAAATGACTAAATGTAGAGTTTTCTTTGATACCTGGGATGTCACATTTATATAGACACCAGTCCTTTGCAATTCGACAGAAAGAACTAGAATACCATCTGGCTGTGAGTAGTTGTTAGAAAAATGGACTAGGAGAGGCTAATACTGAATAGGGTGAAATCAGGAGGGGGTGTTGTCCAAAGCACCGGGTTAGACCAGGTTAGTGCTAGCTGGTAACTGTCTCTCTGGTCTTAATTTTCACATGTACAGGATAAAAGAGTAAAACGACAAGATTTTAAAGCATCTTTCCAGTTCTGAACTTAGTCATTGTTTGGGGGGTAGGGTGGAATGAGAAATTTACATGCAAATTGAGAAATCCATACGTCAATCTACTAGCAAATTTGCAAATTCATGGTTTAATAGAAATAACTTCTGTTTCTTAGTGAAATTACCCCCAGGAGAAAGGTCAAGAGCAACTGTCAGAGGGAACACAGAAGATGAAGCGTGTTGTTCCCAACTTACTTGAATTAGGATTTGTGAATTCTGAATTATTCACTGAGTCTAGTTTCTATAAGCTATTCTACAGTGAGTTTCAATTCTATTCTTATTAATGTTTTTTTTAAATTTATGCATACTAGAACTGGGGTACAGGCCAGAGGTGTGGGGGGTGAGACAGAGTGGGGAACAGAACAGGCAGACTGACTGAAATACACTGCTGAGGGGAGCAGCAGGCAAGACAGGAGAGGTCTGCTGCATCATGTGGGTAGCTCCATGGCCAGGGATGGAACTGGTGATGTAGTGACTGTGGACAGCCTTAACTGTCATAGTGCTGCGCCTTAACCCCTTGTGCCACCAGGGAGGCCCCTATTAATGGTTTTATTATATTTCAGACAGTTCTTCCAGAGAGCTCAAATATGCCCACAGATATTGACTATACCATTATAAGGCTTTCCCCAGTCAACAATGAGACAGAGTTAGTTATATTCGCCTTCCTCTTATTTATGCATAGAGAAACCGAGATTCTGAATGTTCCAAACCACACACACAAAAGAGAGGAAATAAGAATTTAAACCCAATACTCCTGCCACTCATTACTAAACTAAACCAAAATTGGATTACAGAGTAAGAAGCCTAGCTTACAGACTTTTTTAGGGATAAAAGCAGAGGTAACCAAACAGAAACTTGCAATTCTCGGGTAGGCTACCTGAGCTTTTGAACAGCAGAATTCTCTCTCCATATAAAGGAGATTTTTACTGTGAAGAGAAAAAAAAATGCTTTCAGTCTGAGCCGAAGGGCATCATTTACTGCTGCATCCCACAAAGGAGAAACCACTGCATCAGGCTGCTCTTGAAGTCAACTCCTTGCCAGGAAAATCAGCCAACACCCACTGTGGCAGTCAGGAACCACAGCTGCTGTTTGTGGTCCACTGCTTTTTATAGCTGGTGAAGGGGTTCAGAATAAGCCTCCCCCAATGTGCCACTAGGACATGTGAATTATTTTGAGCCAAAGGCAAATTAAGATCCGGCATATTCAAGGAAAATGTTTACTTCTCCCTTAACTATCTAAAGGAATTCAGAGAGGGGGCCTGCCCAGAAAGAGCGTTCATCAGATAACTGAATGACTATCTGTATGATGGGGCAAACACCTAATTAACCACATATCTGCTCTTTTCTTCCTGGGAATTACCCTCTACCCCCTTGAAGCCCCAGGCCCCTATCCCATCCCTTAGCTCAGGATGGCAGAGAAGCTTCAATTGCCCAATTTGCCCTTGGTTTTCATGTCTTTTGGGAGTGGGCTCAATGTATATACAAGATTTGTTTTTCTCCTGCTAATCTCTCTTTTACTACAGGAAGCATCTCAGCCAAGAGGTTGCAAAGATAGAGGGAAAATTATTTCTCTTCCCCTACACTGGCAAGGCTGTTTCATCTTCTAATTCCATCCAGCAAGTCAACACCAGCTATGCACTTATTACCACCCACAGCAGTCTTGCTCTCACTTCTGTGTTGCTGTGGCTTTATTATATGTGGATTAGGAAAAGGAATGAAAAACTTTGGAGCCACTGTATACACAGCCAGAAAGGATGCAAAAATAAGCATTATTTTCTTCTCATTGAGGCAGAGAGAGTGGATCCCTCATAATCAAATCTTTGCTCTATTTTTCTATAATCATGAAAGTTCCACAGTTTATCTCCCTACTGGGCTCACATAGGTACTACTCTTTCTGTGCGTGGCACGTAGCTAAATGTTTAGAGAAAGAGCAGACAGGGAGCTGTGTGCCAGTGTGGGTTGTGGAATTGAAACCTGGGTGTCCAAGAAGAGCTGGATTCAAGCGCAACCTCTGGTTTATGGCGGAGTCTCTAAAGAGACCCAATGTGAGAACATGTGTGTGTACTGTGTATGTACACATAAACACACACACACGTGTACATTTAATGAGTACTCAGCATATGGTACAGTGCACCATACTAATCTTTTAGATGTTATTGTCTCCTTTCAACCCTACTCTTCAATTAAATTTGTCAGGTTCCCTGTCCTTCCTATTTCAGAGAATCCTTTAGATTGGTCTTCCTCTCAGGGGATAATAACAATTTGAAACAAAATGGATTACTTCTGTCCCTAAGTGGTTTCAAACCATTTTTATTTAAATAATGTATACTTTATTCCCTATCTTTTTTTATTTAAAAAACTCAAGCTTTCTATAGAAAGAATACTACAATAAGCACGTGTATACCCTTTCTCTAGACATACCAATTTTTGAACATTTTGTACACACACACGTACAAAATGAAAGCAAGTCATAGACATCAATGATCCCATTGTGTTAATCATCCCTGAATATTTCCACTTGTGGCACCAAAGAACAAGAACGATGGCATGGAGAACAGCAGTCCTCTGTACTCAAGGAACTGACCTCTCCACAATATTAATTTGAACTAATCCATAGTCAAATTTTCTCCACTGTCTCAATGACATCCTGAATAGTTGTTTCCCTCTAACCCACTACAGCTGTTCTGTGTCTCGGCTCCTCCTGGTTAGGCCTTTCACAATACTGATAATTTTTTGAAGACTTGCAGCCAGCAGTTTTGTACAATGTCCCACCATCTGAATTTGTCTATTTCCTCCTGATTCGGTTCAGATGAATATTTTGGCAAGAACACTTACACAGGAAAATTGGAAACACATCAACTGCTTTCAACAGCTGTCTAGGAAGCCTTAGGCTCTACCCACCAACTCACAATTTCCAGGCACCTGGGGTTGACATGGTGCTTTCTCATGAATCATGTCAGTTAATCCCAGCAATAACCCTGAGAAAGGATAGGACAACTAGAATAGGCTCCACTTTAGAGGTGTAAAATCTACGCCACGTACTATATCTGATATATAACTGACATCACTGTGCACCTACAGATACAGAATCCATTTCTCCATGGCACAGTTGTTGTTGTTTTTTCTCCAATGTTGCCATAAGAATAAAAATGCAGTCAATGAATCTAACACCTCCATAGTCAGAAGATAGACTCTGCATTGGTAGAAAGTCAGTGGAAGACTTGAGGATGGAAAAGATGGGGTTGGAACCCTTTCTTGGCCACATGCAAACATGGCTGAGACCCAGCCTGTCTGGGTGTTGATAATTCTAACAATCTGACACGGGCAGAAGAAAAAGCTCTTCTTTATGGGAAATGCCAATAACTGATATAGGAGGAGTGTGACAATTAGAAAATGACCAGTTTGCAACATAATTGTTATCATTAATTCAGGCAAGCATTACCCATGGCCATTTAAAACCATCCAGTAAAGGGCCTCCCCGGTGGCACAGTGGTTGAGCGCTGGGCTGCAAAACTGCTCACAGCCTCTGCAGCACCGGTTCGATCCCCAGCCACTGGGAGAGGGTCCCACATGGGTCACAGACCTCTCCTGCTGCCCACTGCTTCCCTCTGCAGTGTACTTTGTCAGTCTGCCTGTTCCGCTCCTCGCTCTGGCTCTGGTGAATTCTCTCACCCTCCCGCACTTCGGACTGTACCCAGTACGTGCATAAATAAATAAATAAATAAACAAACAAACAAATAAATAAATAAATCTTTAAAAAAAAGAAAACCATCCAGTAAAGTTTGATGAAGAACCAGATCATTAGACAGACCCTAAGGAATACTGCCCCCACAATCCTTATTAATAATAAATAGAAAAGGGCTTCCTTGTGGCCTACGGGTTAAGTCTCATTGCTATTACCACTGTGGCCTGAGTTCAATCCCGGGCCAGAAGCTGACCCACATGGTGCAGCAAACCCCTCCTGTCTCACCCAATGCTCCCCTCAGCAGTGTATTTCAGTAGATCCACCTGTTCTGCTCCTCAGCCCTTTCATCAACATTGTCTGTTACCCTCTTTGCCTACTATATTCCCCCAAATACTCAACTTTCAAAAATAAAATCAGTCTTAAAAGAAAATGTGGTATAACGGCCTTCCTGGTGGTGCAAGGGATTAAGTCTCAGCACTATGAAGCTATTGGCAGCCGCTGCAAGACAAGTTCGATCCCAGGCCAGGGAGCTGACCTACATGGTACAACAGACCTCTCCTGTCTCGTTGGCTATTCCCCTCAGCAGTGTGTTTCAGTAGATCTGCCTGTTCTGCTCCCCACTCTGTCTCTGGTGAATCTTCTCACCCCCTACACCTCTAGCCTACACCCCAGCTCTTATATGCATAAGTTAATAAAATCTTTTAAAAAAAGAAAAAGAAAATGTGGTATATCTGCAAATAGGATACTACTCAGCTATTAAAAAAAGATGAAATCTTGCCATTTATGACAACTTGGATGGCACTGGAGAGGCGTATGCTACATGAAATAAGCCAGAAGGAGAAAGACAAGTATCAGTGATTTCACTCACAGTGGAATATGAATAAAGCAAAGGAAAAGACAAAACCAAATCCAGATGAATCCTTGAAATCTGACCACAGAACTGAGTTTATGGGGAGGTAAGGGCATATGCCCAAAGGTTGGAGGGGGTCCAATGGACTTTGGAGAGTTATTGGATCTTTGGTGGTAGGTGTGGTGTGGCAACACACAATGAAGAGGTGTGAACCTGTACTCTTAAAACATATGGTGATGTAAACCATCATTGTCTCAATTAAATAAATAACAAAAGATAATAAAATCTGTATTAAAATATATACATATAATTAGTTGCTTAAAAATATCTTTTACTATAGAAACTGATAACTATATGAACTGCATGATGAAAAAAATCTATTACACAGACATCTCCATATATTAACAGGTGTAACTTGTTCATCAAAGCATTATTACACTACAATCTGCTGACTGAGAAATAGATTCATCAAAGAGCATTGGATATTTTACTTCTAAAACTGGAGTCGACCTATACTTCAACTGCCATGCTTTTGAAAGTAATCAATCCCCATCAAAATGGAAAATATTTCATAAGAAAATGTATATACTGTAAATCAAGCTCAAGTAGCATCTACAGGAAGTTATTTTATGAAGTTCCTATTCAAACCCACATCTCTTGCACTATCAGCACCCCAGTCAATAACAATAAACATTGTTCAAAGAAAGATAATACCTTTACTCATTTTAATAAGCCTTTCATGATGTACATACCAACCGTGTGGATAGGTTTTCGGTAGGGCACAAGGCCAATACTGTATTGAAAAATTCCTCTGGCGTGGAAGAGTGGCAAAGTAAACCCCACGATCTTCTGCATTTTCTCCTGCATAGTTCGAAGCCATGAGCCTTTAGGATTGCTAACTTGTTTATATACTTCATTTTCACCAAAGGAAAACACGGGAACCAAATAGGCTCTGCAAGTAAAAAAGCGAGGAATAAGAATTTTCGGGAAATATTTTAAAATATTTTATTGAAATATTAGCTATTTTATTCTGTCCAGCTGATTTTTACAACAGATTCTTTCTTAACAGCTCTTGAAAGTTCCCAAGTCTCCCTGTATTGCCAAGTTCATGTGCTCCAAAATGAAACTGACATCCCGACATCCTTTGGGGAGGTTCTTATGTAGTCTACAGAGTTGTGGGATTTTATCCTAAAGAGAACAAGGTTCCAGGGAGCTTGGAGTTCACCTATAGTTTTGGTCATAGTTCTTTTGACTGTAAATTTATATTGTGTCTATAAAATTTTCTGGTTTTGTTTGCTTTGCTTTACTTTTTTTTTTCATTTTTAAATTTATTTTTTTAATTACTGAAAATAATAACTGCTCAATGGTAACTTACAAAATAATAAGTTAAAAAATAAAAATTATTGGAATTCTCTCCACCTAGACATAGTACTGTAGATATTCAAGATTATGACCTTTCAAACTATTCTACATGTTTATTCTATACTTTAAAAAATAGCACCATGTTGCAGCTAATGGTTTATAACCTGTATTTTTAATATAATACATTTAGAAAATATTTCTATGTCATTAAATATTCTTTAAAATAATCATTTTTTTAATAATAAATTTTATTTTTATATTCCCCATACAATTGCAACCCCCCCATTCTGACCCCAATCCCTCCCCTCCCACCCCCCACCCCCCAAAAAGTGTCTCTGTTCATAGTTTTTTGTTGGTTTTGATTTTCACTTTCTTATAGTTATTCATTTTCCTGGTCCCTTATTTAAGTTTTCTAGATTCCTGCTATGAGTGAGACCATCCGGTATTTTTCTTTTTCTTTCTGGCTTATTTCGCTGAGCATGATCCCTTCCAGCGCCATCCATGTTGCTGCAAATTGCATGTGTTTATCTTTTTTGAATGCTGAGTAATATTCCATGGTGTGTATGTACCACATCTTCTTGATCCAGTCATCTATTTTTGGGCATTTGGGCTGTTTCCAAAGCTTAGCTATTGTAAACAGTGCTGCTATAAACATAGGGGTGCAGGTGTTCTTTGGAATTGATGTTTCTGTGTCCTTTTGTTATAGAGCAACCCCGATATTAAACGGGTTCCTGGCTGTGGGTCCTCACCCGCGCGCTTTAAAGGGACTTATGAATACTCTACTACAGACACACGCAAAAGGGTTAATAAAAGGTTTATTTACAAGAGAAAAAGAAATAAGGAAAATGTACAACTCAGGGAGAAAATAGGGAAATAAAGTCTTTAATGCGTCCTACCCGATCCGACGACCTGGAAACCCCAAAGTCACTCTCAGAGCTAGATGGACGCCGCGAGCTGGCCGAGGGCCCCAAAATGGAGAGAGCCCCCAAAGCCCACGTGTCTGCCTTTTGTATCCACCTGGCTGCTTAACCCCACCCTCAGGTCCCAGCCACCTTCCCTTTGGTGGTGATGGGATTTGGAGTTCCCAGTGTCTTTGGCTTTGACCTGGGGTGGGGGTGGAGTCCACAAAGCCTGTATGGAATTTGCTTTGGGACTGCCTTTTCCCCCTAACACTTTGGGTAAATACCTAGGAGTGGAATTGCTGGATCATATGGAAGCTCTATGTTTAGTAGGTCCAGAAATCTCCACACAGCTCTCCATAGTGGTTGGACCAGTTTGCACTCCCACCAACAGTGCAGAAGAGTAAAAATATGGAACACTTCACGAATTTGCATGTCATCCTTGCGTAGGGGCCATGCTAATCTTCTCTGTATCGTTCCAATTTTAGTATATGTGCTGCCGAAGCGAGCACTGCTTTGCTTTACTTTTAAAGATAACCTTACATTTCCCCAAACAGGATGTCCAGAAGGCCAGCAGACATAGGAAAAAATGTTCATTATCATTTCCAGTAAGAGAGATGCAAGGCCTCCCTGGTGGCGCAGGGGTTAAAGTCTCAGCACTATCAAGCCACTGCAGAGTGAGTCTAATACCTGGCCAGGGAGCTGACCCACATGGTGCAGCAGACCTCTCCTGTCTTACCCACTGCTCCCCTCAGGAATGTATTTTAGTTGATCCGCCTGTTCTGTTCCCCGTTCTGTCTCTGGTGAATCTTCTCACCCCCTGCACCTCTGGCCTACACCCTAGTTCTTCTAGGCAAAATAAATAAAAATTTAAAAAAAACCAAAACTATAAGTTCTCCAATGTTTATTGCAGCACTATTTTACAACAGCAAGGCCGTGTGAAAGCTGCCTGTGTCCACAAAAGGGTGACTGGATGAAGACGATATGAATTATCCACACTCTGGAATACTACTCAGCCAAGAGGAAAGATGAAATGCAAACATTTACAGCAAAATGGAGAGAGTTTGAGGGAATTATGTGCAGTGAAGCAAGTCAGAATGACAAAGAGAAATACCAGGCTTTTATATAGCAGATCACTGGACAAATAAAACACAAAACTACAGACATAATAAATGCAGTGATTGCTCTGAGGTTAAGAGGGACAAGGAAGAAAGGACAAAGGAACATACAAGATTATGGTGGGGAATAAATTAAAAAGAAAAATAGAGAAATAAAAAAGAGGGAGGGGAGAAGAAAGAAGAAAGGGAGGGGAAAATCTTAATGTCCGGAGGCCACAGCTTTAAGTGACCTTAGTGGGAAGCTCCTATTCCTTTCCCCGTGAATGTCCACACATGTTTTATTGTAAGATGGATTAGGAGGAGGGCCTCCCGAGTGGCGCAGCGGTTGAGAGCTGGGTTGCGAAGCTGCCTGCAGCCTCTGCAGCGCCGGTTCGATCCCTGGCTGCTCCCCAGCCACGGGAGGAGGGTCCCACATGGCGCGCAGACCTCTCCTGCTGCCCGCTGCTCCCCTCAGCAGTGTGCTTCGGTCCTTCTGCCTGCTCTGCTCCCCGCTCTGGCTCTGGTGAATTCCCTCACCCTCCCACTTCTGACTGTACCCAGTGCTTATATGTATAAATAAATAAATAAAATCTTAAAAAAAAAAAAAAAAAAAAAAGATGGATTAGGAGGAAGTTTGTCTTTAAAGGCTGGAAAAATTACTTTAACGTTCGTGTTCATTGAATATCTTAACTTCCCTCCCCCATTTACCAGAAATGTAAAGTCCCTCACCCATGGGCTAAAGCAGTTTTAACAAATCCTTTCCGTTTCTGGATGAACAGAGTGAACTTTCCGGGGTGGGCATCCAGGGACTCCTTCGCACCCCCAAGGACGATGACCGAGATGTTTCCACCTCCTTCCTTACTCAGCACGTGGGACAAGCTCTTCTTGGAAACTGAGACGGTTCCTTAGTAAATAAACAAAAGACCTCATTCATTCTCCTTTGCTTTTTAATGAAAACATTTGTATCACAAAATTCTATGGTATCAGCAGACATTTAATAAAATGTCTGACGCTGCTTATATTTGGAGCACATTGCAGATTTATGATTTTTGTCACAGCCAAATCTTTGGTGGTGAGATCCAGTAAGATCTGACATTTTGACTGCTGTTGGGTCGGGACTCTAAATGTCACGTGATCAGGGGCCTCCTTGGTGTCCTAGGGGTTAAGTACCAGCACTATCACCACATTTGCCAGAATTCGATCCCAGCCAAGGGGCTGATGCACACAGGGCAGCAGACCTCTCCTGTCTTCTCATGCGCTGCTTCCCTCAGCAATGCATTTCAGTCAGTCTGCCTATTCAGCTCCCCACTCTGTCTCTGGTGAATCCTCTCACCCTCTGCACCTGCACCCCAGCTCTTCTATGCAAAAATAAATTTTAAAAAACTAAAAAAAAATGAAAACATCATGTTCCCAGTCAAAGGCTACTGCTTGTCTGGGTCATTGTGCACCGCTCAACTCCAGGGATGGCGCTCTCAGTGCATGGAGTTCAGTGCACAACCTGCACAGCTGTACGAGGTGGCCTTGATCATGCTCAGAGTTGAGAAACAGACACTTCAAGAGGCTGATGTGGATCTTCTGAATACACAGTGGCCTGTTTCTATATGATTTCTTATTTTCCAAAGATGAACGCATGATATGAATGGTTTAAAAAATTCTGACATTTGACAAATATCCTCGCTCAACCGCCAGATCTTCACATTAGTTCCAAAATGTCTGGTTTGACTTTCACAAATTGTTTAGGACAGTTCCATAATTGTTCAGGCTGTGTATCAGCTGTTCCCAAGTCTCCCGAGATTCTCGGGAGAGTCCTTTTCAGAGTTTAAATGGACTATGTACTCTTAGGAGAAAACACACTGTGCTCTTGGAAGAAAAGAATAAAGATGAAAACAAACCACTTACGACCTCTATTTCAGAAATAATTGCTTTTTAAAGTCTTATAGCACACCAGGCCTCCCTGGTGGTGCAAGGAGGTCTCAGCACTATGAGGCTATCAGCAGCCACTGCAGCACAAGTTTGATCCCTGGCCGGCGAGCTACCCCCCTTGGCACAGCAGACCTCTCTGTTCTCACCTGCTGCTCCCCTCAGCAGTGTGTTTCAGTAAACCTGCCTGTTCTGCTCCCCACTCTGTCTTTGATGAATGCTCTCACCCCTCTCCCTCCCCCCACCCCGGCCCCAGCACCTCTGACAGTTTCCATTGTCACAGTCACAGGGCTTGATGGACCCTCCTCTCCTCTCCCTCAACCACTGTAATAGGCCCCTTCCATCATCACAGCCTCCAGGCTCACCTCCCTCTGACTATACTAGGATGATCTTTATAATGCAAACTCCAGTCAGGGTCCTTTACTCAAAATCCCTCACAACTTCCCGGTGGAATACCTACAAGATGAAATCTAAAGTCCTCTGTGTGGTGTATGAGGCTGTGTGACCTGGTCTCAGCCACCTGCCCAGGCTTACTGGGTGGACAGAGGGACTGCAAGCTTGAAATGCAGAGTGTGCTCTGGCTGACACCTGCGGAATGTAAGTTCACCAAATCGGCCAAAAGGAATGCCTGCAGGTTGGACTCTAAAGGATTTACAGCCACAGAAATCTCACGGGCAATAGCAAAACACACACCTGTTGCTTCTTTACTACATCAGGTCTGGTGCACCCAACTGTCACTCATAACCAGAGAGGCAGCCACAAGGAACAGAAGGGCAGCTTTGCACCAGGGTCTGTGCTAGGAAGCTGGTTCTGGGATGAAAGGAAAGCTCGCTAAACCTAGAGACAAGGTTATCCTAACCATCCAGTGACTGCAAGTTTGGGTATTTTTATTAGTCTTTTTGGCATCTCAAGTTATAACAAAGTCAAGGATCTCATGGTATCATAAGTCAGACAGGTTTGGCCTTATGTGCCAACTCTAGTATATGACAGTGGCTGTGGGGTACTATGTGAAGAAGAACTGAAAGATTGATTATTTGTATCTGGCATGGCCACAGAGAGGGGTGTACCCACATATCCATACCATGAATTTGCCACACCTGTTCCCAATGACACTATTCAAATTCACCTATGGCTATACATGAAATACTTGATTTACTTAAACACCATTTACTTAAATGGTACACTGTAAATATATTTGTTTTCTGAACATTAAAAAAAATCCCACATAATCTTCTTGCATTTATAAAAATCTAACCCAATGTCCGCAAAGCAAGAAGGGATGTTTTCCCTCTACCCTAGTTTGGAGGCTGAGTGCACCCTCTAGAGGCCAGATGCAGTGGCAGCCCACATTGGATCTAGAGTCCAGTACCCAGGGTAGAGTTCATAAAGAAAATCCAAAAACCCAGCCACAGATCCTAGTTCTTTGGTGCTTAGTCATTTCCTACCAAAAATGTAATGACTAGAAAAATGAATGACTTGAAAAAATTTTCATGGAAAATTCTATGTCTGAATATGCCACTTACTGATCTTGAAATAGAATCCCAAAAAGAGACTCTCCTCTTTAATCCAATAAATGCAAGGATGATAATCTACACAATGATCATATATATAAATACTTTTTTAATGTAGTTAATGCCTAGCCAATAAATTGATCACATCAGAAAATCAAACTGGGTCTCGTAAGTTGAAATGAGGGCTGTTAATGCAAGCTTAGCTTTCTGAAACCATTCTGTAGTACTCAATTGAATTTTATTCTTAAAATTGACTTCACTCATCAAAAAGTCTTCCACCATTTCAGAGTAGAAGAGGAGACTTATTTCTGGGTCAAGCTACATTTAATCTGGGAGGAAAAAGATAGAAGATTAAATATGTTTCGTTTATATGCTGTCATTATTTCAAGACATATCGGAGGACATTTTCCACCTTTAATATTCATCAAAATATACAAAGTGCTTCTCCAGGGCCCCCCTTATAGCCTACAGATTAAGTCTCAGAGTTATCGACACTTTGGCCTGAGTTTGATCCCCAACCAGGGAGCTGACCCACATATGGCACAACAGACCTGTCCTGTCTCGCCCGCTGCTCCCCTCAGCAGTGTATTTTTTTTAAAAGATTTATTTATTTATACAAGAAGAGGGGTACAGGCCAGTTGCGTGGGAGGGTGAGAGGATTCACCAGAGACAGAGCAGGGAACAGGACAGACTAACGAAATATACTCAGCAGTGTATTTTAGTAGATCGACCTGATCTGCTCCTGTCTCTGGTGAATCATCTTACCTCATGCACCTTTGGCCTACACCCAATTACTCCTACATAAAAAATAAATCAATTGACTAAAAATGAAGAATAAAGTGCTTCTCCAAAGGCTCAATTTATTACTTATTTTAATATGTGATTCTTTCTTCCACATCTGGACACACAAAATGCACTGATTTACCTATTCTTTCATGGAATTAACATCTCTGGGACATTCCTCTATTCCAGGCACTATACTTGGTGTAAATTAAAAAAAAAAAAAATACAGCTTTGTCTCTCCAGCACTTGCAGTCCAGTGCAGGTGGCAACAAATACCCAAATAGCATATAAAGTGCCAGGAGGGAGTCAAGATATGGGGGTTTGCTCTAGGAAAGTGGAAACACAGCTGGATTTGGGAAGGAACATTCGATGGGGTTCTGCCATCCTAGAACACTACAGAAAGGGGGACTGTCTCCACTTACCACCAGTCATCAGGTATTCCCGGAACAAAGGACACCGGAACCAAACTGGAAGCACGTGAAGATAAGCAGTAAAGCCTGGAAACAGCTTCTTGAAGTCTGAGTAGTTTGTGCAAAAATTTCCAAAGGCTCCAACAACTAACACGCCATGGGGGTGAAACCCAAATATGTAGTTGTGACTTGGATCCAAATCCCAAGTTTTGATAAGCTACAGCACATTTATATAGAGATAAAAAAGAAAATGTTCCTTTGTTATTTTCCAATAAGAAGCAAAAGAACTCGTGATTAGTTTTTACATTAAGAGGAAATGGAAAATATGACTTGTTTAAGTTCTCTGGGTTAAAGCTGTTCCCATTTTTTTTATTAGTTTGTCAGTCATTTACATATTTTTCGACTATTGCCTTTGCCCAGAGCCTTAAAGTCCATGTAGTAACTTGAGTTGAATTGTGGGATATCTCCCTCTAAAAGGAAAATGCCTAAAATATCTATGAGGTGAATAAATGTTCACCCTTCTCCCAATTCAAAAGAACACTGTATAAACCAGCTTTACTCACATGAACTGGAAAATAGTCGATAAAGTGCTTCCAGACTGTCCAGCTTCGGACCCAATTGCATCTCCTGCCTCCTTGCTCTGGGGTCTGCCAGTCAAGGTAAAGCCAGGTCAAATAAGGCACGTAGAGGAACCAATAATTGTATATGATCAATATCACAATGATTCCAACACATACCTGCGCTGTGAAAAAAGGAGACACCTCAGGAATCAGTGTCAGCCAGCACCTGCTCGCTGTACTACACAATCATGGGTCCATGAGCCTCCCTGCTGGCCTAGAGGTTAAGTCTCAGTTTTATCACCTCTGTAGCCTGAGTTTGATCCCCGGCCAGGGAGCTGACCCACATGGTGCAGCAGATCTGTCCTGTCTCGCCTGCTGCTCCCCTCAGCAGTGTATTTTAGTAAATCTACCTGCTTCAATCCCCATTCTTGTCTCTGGTTAATCTTCTCCCTCCTCCCCCCTGACACCTCTGGCCTACACCCCAGTTTTTCTACGCATTAAATAAATAAATTAATGAAGAAAAATCATTAGTCCATGGTAGGAGGATTTAATACTTGTATCTTAAACTGGGCCTCCATTCAAGTGAGATCCTGTAACAAGATAGTTATGGCATTGTATTATTTAATATTTATTGGTTTATGGTATGACAAGCAGTGCTTTATAGACTCTGCCAAAATATTTGCATTTACTCTCCTGTTACCCCAATATCAGAGAAGCAACCATACTACTCTTAATATGCATTTTATAGAAAATAGAGGCTTAGAGAAATTCACAGAGGCTTGGAGAGATTAAGTGAAATCCCCAAGACACACAGAATATAAGCTAACTAGTGGGTCTGTCTAGAGTCAAAGTCCATGTCCCTCCACAGCCTCCCCAACATGACAGGTGGAGAGAACATCCCTAGTGGAGGGATGGAGGCGTTTCTTCTGCAGGAGCCCCTGAGGCTGGCACATGCTACAAACCACATTCATTTTCAGGAACTTGGGCAAAAACCAGAATGAGAACAGCGTAGGAGAGACCCTTTACCTCTTGGTTCTCTCTCCCTTTTGGCAATATTTCCTAATGACAAAGCAATCCTAACTGTTTATGAAGCAATATATGAAGCAAGAAGTGACAAAACAGGACAGGGACGTGGGCAGTTGTGAAAAGATTGTTTGCCTTAAAGGGCCTCCAAGGTGGGGCAAGGTGTTAAGTCGCAGCACCCTGAAGCTATCCGCAGCCTCTGCAGCAGGAGTTTGATATCCCACCAGGGAGCTAACCACGGGGCACAGCAGACCTCTTCTGTCTAGCCCGCTGCTCCCCTCAGCAGTGTATTTCAGTCAGTCTGCCTGTTCTACTCTCCACTCTGTCTCTGGTGAATCCTCTCACCCCCGCCCCCATACCTCTGGCCTGTACCCCAGTTCTTGTATGCATAAATAAATAAATCTTTAAAAAAAAAAAGTAATACATTAAGGTAAGCTAGACCTACATGCCTGTGCTATGTATTACACTAAAATATATTTAGGGCCTCCCCTGATGCTGCAGGCGGTTGAGTGCCTCGCTGTGAAGCTGTCCACAGCCCCGGCCGGCCAGCGGGCGAGGGTCCCTTATGGCACAGCAGACCTCTCCTGTCTCGCCCGCTGCTCCCCTCAGCAGTGTATTTCTGTTGTCTGCCTATTCTGTTCCCTGCTCTGTCTCTGGTGGATCCTCTCACCCTCTCATGCATCTGGCCTGTACCCCGGTTCTTGTGTAAAATAAATAAATAAATCTTTAAAAATATATATATTTACATAAAGAGAAATTCATCAATAAAAGAGGGAGAGGGGGCATAAAGACAGAAAGCTGGGCACACAGTAAGTACTCAGTAAATGCCAGCTGTTACTATTCATTTAAGGAGTGTCTTCGCCTCTTTCTCTTCTATTACATGCTGCAGTCTCTGTAATCTCTCCAACTTCAGTCCCCCAAACTCTGATCCACTCCCTGTCAACTCTGTTAAAAAACAGCTTTCTTCTCAAATGAGCCCTCACAGTGTCTGAGCTACAAGTATTTTACAGATGTAGAATTTGGAGGCCCCAAAAACGGAACATAGATTAAAAAAAAGAATCAAAAAACACATTTTCTAGTATAGATTTAATTCAACACAGAGGTGAACCCCATCAGAGGACTGACTAGCTCTCCCCAGGGTGGGTGAAAGATTATAAGGGCACTTGAAACATCAAGCAAGCACTTGTGCCCCAACCCTCTGCTGCATTCAGAAACTGTCATGAAAGTGTCCCTGAGTCCAGAACCAAGGTCAAAAGGGAGTCCTGGGCCCTCATTCCGACCAGGATCGTTCCATTTTGTTTCACCTACTTCCCTCTACCAGCTCTGCATGCTGGCAGTTTGCCACATTGGTGAAGTTTCTGTTCATCTTACCTAAATGTGTAAAAATCTTACAAGAAACCTAGGTAAGTTCTCATTATTCTCCAGGCTCGACTCGGTGAGCAAGATGCAGCAGGGGAGAGAGAATAGCTACCGAGGAGTGACCGGGTCCCACAGGCAATCTCATTTACTCCTCACAGCCAAATATGCAGTTGTGGAAACAGATCTGCAGGGAGTTTGAGTGCCCAAAGGACTTGAGCCTGGATCTGCCTAATCCCTAAACCCATATACTTTAAATATAAAACAAACCCAACTACAGCCACTTCATGATACTTACAAGTATTTAATACAAGTGCCGACAACACGTTCCTAAACAGAAAAAAATCAGGCAAATAGGTAGTTCTGCCTTCCTTACTGTAAGGATAGGAAATCTCAGGCTGACAGCAAATTGACTTCATTTCAATTACAGGGTCAAGAGCAGATCCAGAAAGACAGCCCCCCGGTTACTGAGTCAGTGTTCCATGAGCCCAACAGCACACCTTCTGATTGATTACACATTGCATATTACGAACATTCATTATTTTCATGCAGGAGAGTTAAGATGGGCATCTGAAATTGGCTGGCTTACATTGGAATCTGACACTGACTCGCTGCCTGACCTGAAGCAAGTTCTTTTATACCTTCAGTCTCAATTCCTTTACTGTGAATTGGGTAATAAAAGCACCCATTTCCAAGGACCGCTGGGGAATAAGCACGAGATGCCGCAAAACTAGGCATGCAAGAAGTGCCTGACCAATGAACTCACTGCTGCAATAACTTTACTGTTACACGTTTGGAAAATGCAACAAGCAGAAGCAAACAAAATATGACCCAAGTAACTGTCATTCAACAGAAGCTACTGTTAAAATTTTCTCTTGGTCTTTTTACCTATGAATAGATGTTTCCTTAACATCATGGACCACACATTTTTAAAAATTCTGCATTTTATCTCTGTGATGATCTCACATTAGCTGTTAGGAATTATAACCTCGTCATAAATGTTGTTTTTAATGACTGATTATAAGTGGTAGTTCAACCATTCCTTTCATTCTTTTATTTTTTGAAATTTGGCCTTCCAATAAATTGTCTGTATAAATACATCTAGCAAAAGTTTCCCCACATACTGATTTATCTTCCTAGGACAGGAAGGAAAACATCAGGTCACTAAACAGAGAGATCTTTGCCATTTGATACTTTGATACCTTAAATCCAAAGGAGCTGCTCTAATTTAAACTCCCACTCCATACACCATGTACATTCTTTTATATTTCATGTCATAAGCAGCATCAATGTACTTGTTAAAACACTACAAAAGTAGGTGACTCGATCACCTCTATTTTCTATTTTTATTTCATGAAGCAAGCCAAGGTAACATGACTCCAAATCGGAGGTCAAAGAGGAAGGATACATAAGTCAATTGCAAAACACTGGGCAGCTATTAGAACTGATGCTGATACCTTTTCAAATTGTCTAGATTTACAAACTATGTTGCATGGAAGGCCTGAATTTCAGCTGCCTTGACATAGGTATTTTCTGGCTGAAAAGTCACCAGTCAGTCCCTTAGCGCTTTTACTCTTTTTACTTTATTCCCATAGAGTCTGCTTTCACTACATCATTGAGGAAACTGCTTGCCACCCACTTTTTAAAAATCAAGGTGAAATTAACATAACATAAATTTAACTATTTTAAAGAAAATAATCAAAGGACATTTAGCATGTTCACCATGTTGTACAGCTGCACCTCATTCTCTTCCCACTGGCCCTGGCAATCATCAATCTCCTCTGTTTCTATGGATTGGCTTATTCTGCATATTTCATGCAAATGGAAATATACAATGGGTGAAGTTCTGCAGAACGTCACTTAACTTCATGCTTTTGAGGTTCAGCCATGATGCACCATGGATCAGTACTTTATACCTTTTCATGGCTAAATAATATTCCACTGCCTGAACAGTCCACAATTTGTTTTTTCATTCATCTGTTGATGCTCATTTGGCTACTGTGTGTTGGGCTGCAGCGACACTGTAACTGTACTAAAAGTCAGAACCAAATAAGGCTCAAAATAGATTAAATTTAACATCACTAATAAAGGGACAAAATGATAGGCTTCCTCCTGATATGGTCCAATGGGAAATACACACCATTACCTTTGTGGGCTTCTTACCAAAAATATTCAATCTGACTCCAATCCTGAGACTATAACCAGGCAAGTCCGGGCTGTGGGATGTCCTACAAAGTAATTAGCCAGGGATGTTTAAAAAATACATTATCAGAGATTAAAAACCAGACAAATGGTGTAGGAACTGGTCTAGTTTTAAAGGAAAATATAAAATGAATCATATGGGGCCTTCCTGGTGGCATAGAAGTTCAAGTCTCAGCACCATCATGTTATTGCTATTGTGGTCTGAGTTCAATCCCTGGTCAGGGAAATGACCCACATGGTGCAGCAGACCTCTCCTGTCTCACCTGCTGCTCCCCTCAGCAGTGTACTTCAGTAAATCCACCTGTTCTGCTCCCCACTCTGTCTCTGATGAATTTTCTCACCCCTGCACCTCTGGCCTATTCATAAATAAATTTAATATTTAAAAATAAAGATGAATCATATATTAAATAATGCTATTGTGTCACAGATGAATTGTTACATGGGATAATGTATGATAATGGTGATTATGTAGAAAGTATTTGCTTTTAGGAGACCAGTTCTAGAGTATTTCAGGCTGGGGTGACATGAAATCTACACCTTTGTTTCGATCTTTCTAATGGTCCACCAGGAACAACAATGAAGTGTTTGTGGTGTGGGTGGC